AAAAAAAAAAAAAAAAAAAGAAAAAAAGGGAGAAAAAAAAATATCCTCTCGAATTGTTCGACTACGACCTCTCTTTTGCATAGAATAATTTTATCTTATACAAAATTGATACTCGAAATTAGGGTACGACTCGATCAAAAGTCAACGCGATTAAAGGAACGTCGTCTTGATTTTTTTTTCGTTTTTTTGTTTTTTTGTTTTTTTTTTAACCAGTCTTTCATTAGGCTCTCTGCTTCAACTATTAGAATTTTCTCATTACCGACCGATCTTAACCTCTTTCTCTCATTTCTCTTTCTCTCATTTTCGCTCTCGCTCTCTTCCATACTCTCGCTCCCTTTCTCGCGCATAGTAACGCGGCACTTAAAAAGTTTTATTGCAATAAAAGTATGTTACAGTCAGAGTGAATGTCCATGTGTGTTTCGAGCACTTCCGTATTTGTCAACGATCATTTTTCTTCTCTCTCTCTCTCTCTATCTCTCTCTCTCAACAATCGGCTGCCAATTTTCTTTCACTTCAGGTCCTCCATCGCGCCATAGTTGGCCAAAGATTTTTTAATCCTAAGCGCGGTTAACCTAGCTGCCGCGTTGTGATACCAACATTCTTTCATCACCTTCGACATCACTTGCAATGCCTAGAAAAAAAGAAAAAAAGAAAAAAAAGAAAAAATGAAAAAATGGAGTCTACGTTGGAAAAAGGGGAAAAAATAGAATGACGAAGGAATGTATAGCACACGTACGTCGATGGACTGCCACCGATTCGGTATAGACGGCCTCTGTCTGTCGGTGCACACAACTTTACGCATCTCTTCAATCGTCGGATCGGAAGGCACCAAATCGTAAAACGGCAGCTGATACTCGTCGTGGATTCCGCCGACGTTACATCGCCTCGCGATCTCCCAAAGGATCAGCCCGAGAGCGTACACGTCAGCCCTCTTGAAGGAATCAAAATGGTTCATGTTTATCGTCTCTTCGAGAACCTGAAAGCGAAAGCAACAATTCTCAGGATTCTCGAGAAGGAATTTTCTTCGGGATGGAAAAAAGTCCATCAATACACTTATCTATTTCGAGATCGAAAATTAATTTCAAAGATATTAATTTAGAGAGATTATATTTTCATAAATATTTGATAGGTACGAAAATAAATTAAGACGTCAATAAATACAGAAGCAAAAAATGTTTCTCACTGCTGGTAATATAGTTATCTTCCCAGAAAATTAAATTATCTCAATGTGAATACATGTGTTTTCGCTTAGAGAATTTATTAAATAAATTTTTTCAAAAAATAATATTTTAATTTATCATTAATTTTTTTGTTAATTCATTATTAAATTATATAATTAATATTAATATTTAAAGCATTTATTACAAATTAAAAGAAGCATGTATTAATGTACATGTGTATTTTCAATACAAAATTACTGAAAAATTTTCTCAATTATATCGTCAAAATCAGAAATATTCATCAAAATAATTTTTCAACGAATGACGAAATTATTAAATTAATTTTTTTATTTATAATTTTTTATTTATTTTACCTCGGGTGCCATATATCGCTTAGTGCCGACCCGATTGTTCAGTTGTATATCGACGGTGTCTGTTATTACGTCATGTCTAACAGCCAATCCGAGATCACCAATCGCGCATGTGCCATTCGTTTTCACAAGGATATTCTTCGACTTGAGATCCCTGTGAGCAATGGCGGGCTTCCCTTGAGTACCGACGATCTCCATGTGAAGATGCGCAAGCCCAGTAGCAATCGACAAGGCCATCCTGATCATACCGTTCGTGTCCACGGTAGATCTATTCAGATAATCGAACAGCGAACCTTTCTCGTGATAATCCGTGATTAACCATAACTGGGTCCACGTACCATTATCTAAAAGATGCAATGTATCTCGGATTAGTTCATCAACTAGCAAATCGTTCGTTTAAAATAATACTTATTCGGCAATTATTTACAAAAAGCAATTATATTCTGATTTTGATGATTTTTTAATACGATGTCATATTATCACTTTGAACAGCGTTGTGATTTGGTGATTTTACTCGTGGTTCGTAAAAATGTTATTAACTTAACCTAACTTAAACTCAATATGTATAATAATTGAGCTATTTAAAATTTTATTATTATTCTAACTTTTTGTACTGTATACTCTAATTATTTTCTTCAAGAATTCTAAAGAAAAATAGGAGTTATCAAAATTAATTTCATAGTGCAAAGGATTAAAAAAAAATTCTATTATTAGTGTAAAAAAAACTGAAGTATTCCAATCGAACGTTTCAAAACAGATCCTTCACTTCGGTTTTATCTCGAATCTTAAAATGCCCACATGCATCACTATAAATTAAAGCAAAAGGATTTAGCTGCTCAAAGTTATCAAAAGTTTTCGATAAATGGAATAAATAACAGTATTGAAATTAACGTAATTTTACGATCAAAATTTAATCTCATAAATAAAAAAATTATAATCGCAGAGTCTAATAATATTAAGAAAACGTACAATATGACCCATACGATTGGTGCAGCAATAAAAGATAATTTATAAGTCATTAACATGATGTTTCCACTGATCTATCTAATGATTCATATAGAGTTCAGCGTCTCGTCGTTTGACCTCGCACTAAACGATACATCAACGATGCTTTCATCAAGTTTAAATATTCTAATGTCTCTTGAAAAAACCTATCCAATCAGAACATTTTTAATCCTTGTTTGATCTATATTTATGGATTAAAAAGATCCATTTGTACGCTTAACAATTATTATATTTATACACAACTTTATTCAGAACATTTACAGGAAACTCGATAAAACTTTTTCAACACATAATTAGTGAGTAAATGATTTCATATCAAAAATATAATATAAATTCATTTTTTAATTTATCTTTCTTTCTTTTTTGTTTTGAAAAGTTACAAAAAAAATAACATGAAAAATTGCATTTTCAAAATAATAATCGTTTGTATAAATAAAACATTAGAGATAATTTGCTTTTTTTTTTAAAAAGAAATTGGAACGTGTTTTAAGTTCATCTTTTTCTTTTGAAGTCTTTATAATAATTTTTGCACTTTATTTTCACTAATTTTCCTCGCACACATAAATTGAATCGAAAATAACTAACTTTCTAATTTAAAATAAAATAAGATAAAAATTAAAATTAATATAATTTCATAATCAAAATTTGAATAACAATAACTGATCATTTAAAATTATTTGAAAAATATTTTATTTTAATTCATTAAACAATGACCTCATTAAGGCAACTTCATTTTGCGTGAAATTATTTTAAGAGGATATCTCATCTTGTCGAATAAATCAAATTAACCAAATATAGTATACTGTCATACATATCTAATCACATAAAATTACAAAAAATACATGTATATGATGATATGATTAACGAATTGATGGACGAATATCATAATATGGATAATTCTCCAAGAATCTGGAGAATAAACATCATCTCAATAACTAGAAAAATGGTGATGTAGTGATCGACCACAAATTTCCATGAATACTCATGTACTATATATGTAACAACTTATTGCTATTAATTTTGCGGACAATTAACTCTCATGGAAATGCAAATTTTCGATTATATATTAATATATGAACTATAAATTCTGATGGAAATTTAAATATTTATAATTATTTTTTTATAATTTCTTAAATGAAAATTTTAAATAATACAAAAATTCTATGGATTTTTATTCTCAAGAATTTCAAAACATTTTTTCAATATTATCTATAAATTTATGAAAATATACTATTTTTCAATCTTGATTTTTTTAATATATAATCAAGGTTATCATTCCGAATAATATTGTGATTTCATTTGATGGTTGTTTAATAAAAAGTTATTGATAGAAACAGGATTAGGTTAGTTTTATTCAGATTTATTGCTAGACAATTGATGGTTAGTTACTTTATAATGAAAAATTTAATGCTAATGCAAACCATTAAGTCAGCTAACAATTGAATTATTAATTTTCTTCTTCTTATTTAATTTTAATTTGAAATGAAATTAAACTTAGAATTAATATAAATTTTAATTGATATCATGCAAAAGTTCATCTAATTTTATACATTCTTCTCAAAATTAACAAGGTTATAAACCACAAATTTAAGTAAATTAGTAAGTAGTTTAATGAAATTAGCTATGATAAATTAGCTTTGTTACGAACAAAGCGAAATTAGTTTTGTTCGTAATGAAATGTGAATTTTATATTTTTCATAACTTCAAAACGAAAAATCCATTGAAATCTCTCTCAAAAAATATTCAAGAATTGAAAGTTATGAATTTTATTCAGCCAACACGAACTATATATGTTGTTTACATATTATGTAAGTATATATTACATGTAGATCTTTGTATATACGTACCTTTGTTATCGGCAGCGATGAATCCAAGGATATTGTCGTGCCTGAGCATCACCGTCTGGTAAATTTCGGCCTCTCTGAACCAAGACCTTTCTTCTCGCGAGCTGAAGATTTTCACAGCAACGTTCTCGCCTCTCCAACGACCACGCCACACCTCGCCAAACCGACCTTTTCCGATCGTCTCCACCAGCTGAATCTGGCGGGCTATGCTTCGCTGTACCAGAAGCGGCAGGCCTACTTAAGAGAGGATGGGCATTGAAGAACATGGATTTCAGTATGATTGAAGATGACACTTGTTTTCGCGATTTCTTACCAACGAATTTCTCTTCTACTCGATTATTGTTTTAACACGTTCGAGACTGGTGGCGCAACATGTACGTCATAGGAATTTTTTATTCCGTGGTGATCGATATAGTACAGTTGCGTTATAGATATTTTCTATTCTATGGCGGATACATGGCGGGTATATATTATGAAGATTTTATATTCTATGACGGTTAACGCATATAATCGCGTCATGGACTTTCCTATATATATATTATATATATACGAAAGATGAAAAAAAATTTTCCATATATCCAATTTTCATATATATGTATTCAGTACAAGTATCGTCATTAATATGTAAAGTTATTTTGTATTTTTCACTATTTCACCATTGTTTCGAAAATCAATATTCGAATCATTGGTAAATTCTACAATTTTTTGATACAATCTCGAATGTATTAAAAGAAAAAAGATAGTTTTTATACAAACTTTGATAAAGATTATCATCATTTTGTAATTGAGAACTATTTGAGATTTATAATCTACAAAATAACTATTGAAATTTTTTATTTTCATTTGTTCAAATACAATTTTTTTTTAATTGGCTACAAAGTATATATATATAAACTTTAATTTGACCTACCTGAGCCACTACCACTGGTAGTCATTTCCAGCATACCCCTAATAGTAACACTGCCCAGGATAGGTCGATCCGGTGCCTCTTGCGAATCATCGCTATTTCCGGGCCTTTCTGGGGTTTTTCGAACATGATAAATGACCATGACCACCACGCAGATGGCGCATATCGGCATTGCTATCATCAAGGCCATTTTCCAAGTGACCCACGCTGCATCATCCTCACCCGCCGCCACTTTTCCCGACAAATCTTCCGTTATCATTTTATAATGACTGATTTACACAGAATAACCACTCCAGAGAAACATGGAACATTCGTTGTGAATATTTTTTTTTTTCTCTATAAACGCATTTTTTTTAACCCTTTCGTCATCAACCCTTTACAAATGCCAAAACGATTAATTAAATTCAATTAAATTTGACTCTAATATATACAATGTAGCCTCTAATAATATCTATTTCTCTCTATTCCTAATAATTGGATTTTTTAAATTCATAATTTAATAATCTAGTTTCACGGATTAGAAAATACTGAAAATATAGTTACACGGGTCTGCAAAGGGTCAATATTCAATTTCAAATGTAAACCAATTCTACTTGATATTTTGATCGAAAAGACAAAGATAAGAAACATTAACCGTTTCTTTTACAGAATATTATTTTAAACGTAACAAGTTTCTCCAAGTGATTCGAAAAGCCAGCAAAGCGAGAATTTGGAATGAAAATCAAGCGGTATACGTACAAAATGCGTCAAATTGACGACAGGAGGACAAAGGATGCACCGGCTATACATGTTCGAGCAACGTGCTAAAATGATATACAGCATGCTGGATACACCGAGAAGCGTGCGGTAAATGGTAAACAGTTTAAACCAACAGGCGCATGCAGGTTGCAGCAGTAAGGAGGTCAATAGGTCAGGAGCAGGGACAAACTCTTTTGCAATTCTTTATATAAATACTTCAACGATCGATACCTGATTTGGATCGAATCTTCTCGAATCTTTTCATATTCTTGACAAAGAAAGAAAGAGAAAGAAAAAGAGAGAGAGGAGGAGAGAAGGAAAAGTGAGAGAATCAAAGAATTAGAAATCGTGAATATAAATATATAACGTCTGTTTGTTGACTCTGCCTGCTTCCATCAAGTTCTCTGGCCAAAAATGAACCATGTACCGCATTACCTGTACATGCACAATACGATGACGCAATCCGTGCATGAGTCATCGTGCGGCTGCAAAACTTCTTTCACGATCCTCTCGATCTTGGCAGCTTCACTTACCTTGCGGTCGATGGTGGGCATGAATTCCATCACGTGGGTGCTGTTAATCGATTATTATTCCTCGAAAAACCACACAGGGGGAGGGGTGTTAGGGTGTAAAGGGGGAATTTGGATATTTTGTACACGATTCGAAAACATTCGGTATCTTCGAAATTTGGAAAGAAAAGGGGAATTAAATTTGGAAACGAATTTCTTGTATTTTTGAAGAAATAAGAGAATCTAATCAATTTCGAAAATTTAATTTTTGGAAATTAAATTTTCAACGGAACAATCGCTTTTGAAGCAAATCAATATTGATTCAATTTTTAAATGGAATTTTTTAATATTTCAAACGTTTTCGAATCGAATCGAATAAATTTCGAAGATTAATTAATTAAAATAAAAAAAAAATCACTCGTGACTTAATTTTTTGAAACGAGTGATTATTGATTAAAATTCGATTAAAATTCTCGAAATCGAATCAAGATAATTGGCATCGAGTTGAACTTGCAACCAATTGGAGAATCACAACGCCAGGATTACTGTCATTATTTAATTTTTTTTTTTTTTTTTTTTTTTTTTTTTCTCGATACACAGCAGGAAAATTGGAAAGATCATGGGAACGAGCGGCTGGGCTGATGCCGCGGGAAACAAATATTCGTGGAATCGAATCGATCACAGAGCCGGCGACCGGCGCAAGAACCATCCATCTAGCAATTTCACGATAAGGCACCAAATTGATTCCCACGAGGTATTCGATGAGATGACGAATAACGGTGAGACAGAGGACGAGAATCACAGGTGAATGATTGCGTACGTCCGGATACCCGATGAAAATTGGACAAGTATCTGGTGTGTGTGTGTGTGTGTGTGTGTGTGTGTGTGTGTGTGTGTGTGTGTGTGTGTGTGTGTGTGTGTGTGTGTGTGTGTGTGTGTGTGTGTGTGTGTGTGTGTGTGTGTGTGTGTGTGTGTGTGTGTGTGTGTGTGTGTGTGTGTGTGTGTGTGTGTGTGTGTGTGTGTCGTGTGTGTGNGTGTGTGTGTGTGTGTGTGTGTGTGTGTGTGTGTGTGTGTGTGTGTGTGTGTGTGTGTGTGTGTGTGTGTGTGTGTGTGTGTGTGTGTACGCATTATACCTTGCTGACGTGTAATGTGTTAGGGCGTGAACTCGATCGTGATGCTTGAAATGTTGATCGTCATGCAGCTTCTTTTCAAGTAATGTAGAATAATTTTCTCTAATTTCTAATCGTTTATATATAGATGTATTAAAAAATATTGTGATTCTTTTGGATGATTTTGTGAAGAGTACATTTTTTTTCTGTTGTCGAAGTTCGGTTCACTAAGAATTTGAAACTTTTATTAATTATTTATAAAAAGATATTGTTCAATCTCGATATTTTTTTGATATTTTACCAAGATCCTCGTTAAAAATAATACCGTGAAAATTTTACTTGGTTTAATCGTTGTTTAGTAAAAAGTTATTAACATTATAAAAACATTATACATTATAAAACATTATAAAACATTATAAAAATGTTTCTTCGAAATTGTTTTTTAGGTTAAGTTAAGTTGCGTCGGATTAAGAAAAGTAATTCAATCGATCGGTTAATAGTTAATAAATGAATTTTTATTTAATTTTGACTCGAGGTGAAATTAAATTGAGAATTAATATAAATTGATGTCAAATAAAAATTTATTTTATTATTATCTAGTTTGATGGTTTTGTTTGGTCTCATTTAATAATTATTTATTATGCTTTTTTTAATCCAACTGTGTAAAACAGCTTGATATAAATTTACAGCAATAAATTGACTAAAACCAAAATCTAATCTAACCTAATTGTTTCGAAGAAACGTTTTTTGTTAATAATTTTTTAATAAATAACAATGACCAAATAAAACTTTCGCAATATTATTCAGAATGATAATCTTGATAACATATTAAAAATTATCAAGATCGAAAAATGAAAATTTTGTAAACATCTATGCCATTATTATTATTATATACAATTTTTTTAATGTTATTAATGAAAGGATTTTGAAAATTAGACGTAGTATTTTTTTTCTTTAATTTATTGTATTTTGTTTTATTCTAATCTTGATCCTGTTTCTGAAAAATTAACGCTAACGTTTCATCCTTTATTTAATCATTTAATAATTTCCATCTTCCATATGTATAATACATGTAATACAAGACCACTGTTCCCTTATTCTATTTTGCATCTAAATAAAATTTTTGCAACATTCTTATATGTATATCAAATTTTTCAATCAATCAATGACTGCAATAGGCTATTTTACAGGACGAGAATTTATTAAAAAAAAAAAAAAAAAAATAATCTGGTTACCAACATCATTAACGAGCGTATCGAAACAAATGTTGCAGTGAAAACGCGCATCAATAACGACTCACCCTCTCTGGATTTAGTGGAGTCTGATATAATCGATGGATACCGCTTTCGATACGTTCTATCATGCCTCCGTCAATACTGCGCGAATACATTTCTCTGTACAATACAACATCGCGATGTCGTCCATTTTATTTAACCTACCGCCACCATTCCCCTTTACATCGCATTTCATTCTGTTTGCTTTTCATATAATTATTATGCTCATGCTACGAATGTTTACCAATAACCGAATATCGAGTATGGTTTCTTTTTCGATTCATAACAGTTATGCCAATCGTGAACTCTTGTCAAATTGGAAATGAAGAGGTTAGCTTTTTCATTTTTATTCGTTTAAATGAGTCGACGAATTGATTGGAAGTGATAGTGAAATCTTTAAATGAAGTGATTAAACGAAGATGCAGAATTTAAATGCGTAATTTGTGCGAATGATAATTTTGAAAACAAGAACGAACTGGATAGAACTCGAAAACGGACGTGTGATTCGAGATATAAAATGCCGTATCAAAATATTTTTAATTCATTTCTATTTCGAACAGTCTGATAGAGATAAGTGCGAGACGATTCTCTTGTTCCGTTGATAACACGTTTTTATAACGTCGTTTCCGTAATAAGAGTCCATACCCGATATATTTGACGACGTATCGTTGTATCGCGATGAAACATATAGACATTCTGCTTTTACGTTCAATCGTTTCTTTTTTCAATTTCTCATTGAACGACGAGATAAAATGTCTCCATTCGACAGAAATCAATTTAAATAGTTTTTTTTCAAGCCTTAGAATAACTGATATTGTTTAATATAATATAAAATAATCTAACCTCTATCTCCAACATATAAAACTGGTCAAAACTCTTTAAATATAAAACCATTGAATTTTTAACTCAATATTGCATTAAAAATAATGAAATATAAGAATATAAAACTAGAAATAACATGAAGATAAATTTATATTCGTGAAATAATTCTTGTGTGCAAATCACGTTGAAGATGCTTTCTAATCCGTATTGAAAGCACTACAAACGCAAACACCTATAGAAAATTTTGTTCATGATTTAACACACTCGAGGCCAACGACGCCACATAGGCGCCTTGTAATATCTAGTCAAAACACCTAGAGGCGCCACATACCCGTCTTAAAAATAAATTGATATCAGTTAGAATTAAAAAAAATTATTATATACCAATCTACAGAAAAAAATTATATAAAAGAAAAATAATAAAAAGTATTTAAAAATTAAGAAGTACATAGATTTAAAGTAAAAAGCAAATAATACATAATAAAAATTATTAGGAAATTCAATATAAATTTTTATTAATAAATTTTTATTAATAATCAAAATTTGACTTCGAACGTATTAAAATTTTTTCATCAGTCAACCACTAAGATATTAATAAATTGTATTTTAAGAAATTTCAACGATTTATTATCGTTCGATGGACTCTGTTATCTTGAAAACCGTGTGAATTTGACATGAAAACTCAGACGATTTTTTTACGCAGTCACGTCTTCTGAAAACGATAAAGATATAAATGGATAAATGAAAACGATAGTGAGTGATTTTACGTAATACTTCGTTATTTCTCAACAGAATATCTTGTAACCCAATAATTAGTGAAAATATGATTAGTAATATGTGTCACGGTTTTTTTTTTCGATATTTCTTGTATTCATGTTTATTGAAATTTTCTTTTTAAATGTTTGTTTTTTTACATCGAAATATTTTGAATAAAAAAAAATATTTACATTAAATATCAAGTAGAAACATCTAAAATTACTATTTTTATTTATGTTATAGTTGACATAAATTATTTTCTAATTTCTTTAATATAAAATTTCTTTATCTATGTAATACATAATACATTTTTTTCTAAATCTATAATTGAATCACATGTAAACATTGTCCACGAATAATCACGAAAAAATAGATATCTCGAATTTTGTGGAGATACGTTGAAGCGAATTCTGATTATACAAGTGTATAAATTCGGCATTATCTTATCCACATACAACTTACAAAACGTATATTATCACCAAACGAGAACTTTCCCATACTATAAAAAGATGCAAGACGATACACAATCTACCAAGATTGTGTCATCATGAAATTACAGAATATTCACCACGACATCACGTTCTTTCTTGATAAGATTAAGAATACACGAATTGCTGACGAATCAGACGCCAATTTCGCACACCATCTTACGTCCAATATTTGAACTGTTCACACGAATAACTTTCAAATCCTATTTACAATTATTCAAAATAGATGTCGTCACTATATACATATTTGTATCGACTCGTTATGTAATTCTTTCATAGTGAAAAAGTTACGATACAATCATACAACAATATATATCAAAATTGCCAAAGTTTTATTACGAGAAATTATATTGTGTAAAAATATATGTAAATACATTTTTTATATATTTGTTTTTTTTCTTGTTACAATAGAAATTAATTACTTATCATTCGTATGATTTTTCTCTTAATTTCAAGTTTAAAATAGTTTATTCGAAATTCATTTTGTAATTTCATTCTAGAATATATTTCTATAAAAATTAATAGACAACATATTGTCGATATTTCCTATTTTCACTAGTAAAGCTATCTCGTGTGTTCTTAACCTATAACGTCTCGAATCTCAAGAACGGTGAAGTATAAGAACATATATTGTTCAATTCGTTCGAGAATCAATTTCGATATATCATTCAGTTGATATTGGATATTAATTTGCGGTATAATTTTAAGTGGCAAAACATATTTATTGCATGGAGATCTGTGTTAAATTGTGAGTTATGAAGATAAAACAATAATTGATAACTTATATTCATAAAGATAAATGATATCGTAACCAGCTTTGATCTATGACAATTTGTTTTCTTAAACTTATGAAAAAATATTATAATTCTGTGTAAAAATTATTTTTTTCTAACTACGTACATTGATTTCTGTTTGAATATAAAAAAGAATAAAAACAAAACGATCATTCTTTAATTATTTTTATTCAAAAATTTCGCAAAAATCATTGATATTGCAGAATTTTCTATCAGTCAATAATGTAATATAAAAAAAGACTAAATAAATCGCGAAATATTTTCATAATACATTTACAAAAGATAGACGTAAATTACTATAATATAAACAGAATATCTCATCAAGTTATGTATGTAATGGAACAGCGGCCTCTTTTACAATAATAATGCAAAATATTGAATTTCACGAACAGTTCTCCGACAACAGAAACGTAGACGTTATAACGAATCACGATGTTTCGTGGTTGCTGCATTATATCAGCTCGATAGTGAAGCATAAACAAAGACAATGTGTACAAAGGATTTGTATGGGGGAAGGGGGAATATGTGTATGCGACAAAGATGATCGCCCAGACAAATCACAAAAAGCATCGAAAATCGATGATCGAAAGCCCAAAATTTCGTTTTTCTTTGTCTCTTTATTTATCTATTTTTTTTATTTTTATTCTATTTTTATAGAATGCATTTTTCCAAGATCGTTATTGCGAAGATTTCTTTTAGATTCGATTATACAATAAATGTAAAATTTAGTAACTGTTATTCTAAAACAAATTTCTATTTAATTTATTCATAAATATTTTTATATGATAAAATAATAATCGATATATGTTAATTCGATTTCTCAATTTCTAATGAAAATTAATTTTATTAACATATGGAAACAAAATTAGAATCAATCGTCCGATATTTTTAAATTAAACATATATTCTTCAATTTTTATTTATTGATTAATTTTAACATTTGCTTTATATTATCTCTAAAATTCAACCGTCTATTAAATATTATTTGCTTTTTTTTCTCACAATTTCTTAACGCTCAATACATATTCAAAAATCTTGTGAATTATTCATCAAGAATACTTATCATTTAAATGAATTTCCTTATGGAATAATATATGAAGATTTTTATAACTGACGTGAAACAAGTCAGCAAAATTCAATAAATACATCGAATCTTGAAAAAAAATCTCGCATTAATTCGATCGATCTTAGAAGGGAACGTAGCGGGCGGAAGCTATACCTCGTTCGAGGTAATCGACCAGTCGGAAGTATGGCCCACCTCTGTACTCGTGAGGAGGAATAAAGGGCATTAAGTTGAGATTGCAGAAGTCGGAGTGATCGCAGCAGGCGATCACGGATACCATGTCACCTGGACCGTGTAGCGTGCTATTCGTTGTGCACCAGTACGAGTAATCGGACGCCGGGAAGAAATGCATCTTATCGTAACACCTGAGAACAATTTACATGACTTCCGGACCAGAATATGCATTTATCCGTACCGTCGAGCCCAAAAAGAGGAAACCGTTTTCTCCCCCGGTCTGTTTAATATGAAAAAGAATTGTAAATTCAGAAATTTTTTTTTTTGTAACGGTATTTCGTTGTACGATTATTCAGATATTTCACTTCATTTCTACTGTGAGAACAATTGAGATTAAATTAAAAATCGATGATTTTTTATTAGTATTTCGTAAAAATTATTACTTTTTTCTATACGCCGTTTTAATCGTCTTGATTTTGAAATATATTCATCAGAAAATAAATAAAATATGCACTCTCGCTCTATTCCATTTTTTGTGCTATTATATGTTTTGTAATTATTGGTGAGGATAGTGATAAAAATCGACGATGGATGTATTGAGTGTATAGAATGATATAGAATGATTCAATAGGACTAGCATAAACTTCCAATTAAATTATATTGTTAACTATAAACAAACAGAATTCTTTTGATTGAAGATCTACGTCAATGCTGTGATCATCGTTCTATTTCACTTTGTCTCGATACGCCCGTTGTCGATCTTTTTTATTGTCCTCGACCAATAACAATGCGCGTGATGGCAGGACAGATGGAATAGAGTAAGAATATAGCCATCTTCTGGCGAATATACTGTACTAAAAAATATTTTCTATCCTATCGTATCGTATTTGTAAGTGTTCAAATGAATTTTAGAGTAGATTTGTGAATAGATTCGAAATACTTTTATATTTAAATACAGTTTTCTCTATTCGTCAAAAAAAAAGTGGTGTCTTAAGTTGAAAATTTAAAAACATAACCTGATTCTTTTTAATCACATTTTATACATATGTTGTAAATAAGTTACAAAGAGAGGAAAGCACAAATCGCAACTGTTTTATGCTTTTTTCATTTCTCTCTCCGTTTTTGTTTTCGGTATCCTTTCTCTTCGATTTCGTTAGCTCAGTGATAAATTATTCCTATTACAAGAGTTATAAATTCGTAAGGGCACACCAGAATATAATAAGCAGCCAAGATAAGTTCCAGAATTAATCATTAATAATAACTTGCGATCAAGTAATAATTCACGTGGTTCCTTTTTTTTTTCTTTTTTTGCAAGTAATTTGACTGTTAAGGAGCAGTATTATAATATCGTTAACATCAAACTCTTTAAAAACGCGTTATCTCACTAATTCCTTTTTATAATTTCGAAGAGAAAGTTTTATGAAATTAATTTTTTTTTCTTAGTGGGATATACTCTATTTTAATAAATAAGCAAGATATAAGAATTTTTTCAAAAATTTAAGAATAAATTATTAAAATTCAGAATATTTTGACTTGATTATAGGTTATGTAATTTTAAGAATGATGAAAAAGATTTTCAAATGCTTTAAGATGATATATCTCATTAATTTTATTCTCATTATCATTGTTTGTATGATTTTAAATTATGAATGATTGCAAGTCTATTCTAAATAACAATTGACTTACAAATTATTTCTATTTACGCAGAATTAGACGAATTAGAAATAAATATTCGATTTCATTGAAAATTATAATTTGATTCTAAATTCATCATTCGCAAAATTTTTTTTTTTCGAACAATCGTGCAACAAAATACCGTTTTTTTAACGAAAAATATTTACACGTTCAGATCGTTCGGTATAGTAGACGTTATATTAAACAACGTAAATAACAGTTTCTTCTTCTTTTTTTTTTTTTTTTTTTTTTTTTTTTTAGGTTTTGAGAAAATTACACACAAGTTATGCAAATATATACAAGAATTTCGTAAGCTGCGAAGGAAAGGTTAAGATCAATCCTCCGTTAAAATCTTTTAAATAATGAAAAATTAATTGATAATTATTTTACCAAAGTTTATTATTTTTAGGATGCTTTCGCGTGATATTCTGCATACAGACAATTCACGACAGCGAGGAAATTTATTAAAAGATTGAATTAAAAAGGACGTGCAGAAAATGAAAATAATAATAGCTACATACTACGGTAAAGAGAAAACGAAGCATGGGTGCAAGATTTTATTTCACGTTTCGGATTTGTATACGAATAAAATTACATTGAAAAGAAAAAAAAAAAAAAAATTAAAAAACACGGTCAACTTTACCTCTGAACACTCAATATTCATTATGACACAGATTAAAAAATCACTTTTTTAATATTTATAAGCTATATAAAATCTTCCACTAATTTTACTATGAAAAATACATAGTTTATAAATTTACATTTCAGCGAAAAAAATTTGAGTATCCAAGGAGTTAAAGAGACCACTGCTCAACGCTCGTAATAGAATAATGTAATTATCGTGCAATTAAACGTTACTCGTTTAAGCGAGTTAACACAACATTGAAGCCTTAATTGTATTTTCAAGGTATCGAACGACATTTAAATACACTAAGAATATACAATCGCTGTTATCAATAATATATTTAACGCAGTAAAAGAAAATTTATTAACCAGAAAATATTCTTAATACAGATTTTATACCTGTCCGTCTCACACCGACCCTTCGAAATTTAAAATGATTATAAAGGGACAGATTAATGTGTATAATCCAATAGATTCTATATATTACTACATACAGGAGGATAAAATTAAAAGGAGAACTGAGAAAGGCATACGGAACGAATCTAAGACTTGTGTATTCCATTTTCTAAGAGAAACTGAAGAGAAATATTTACAAAAGATGTCCTTTTCGCAAGGACTTGCGTTTACCAGTATCTACTACAATGTCTACTTTCGTTAGAGAGAGTGCAGAGAGATATATGTATACATGACAACATGCTACCGGTTTCCAAGTTCATTCGGGAGGACTTCCGGCCCCCCCAAACACTTGTAAGCGAAAATATACAGGAGGAGAGTACCTTGAAGTAACTAGAACCTCCATAGGTGGCAAATATTTTCATACTGTCTTTTATATCTTTGAAAAAAATTTGTCCATCATTGTTACGTTACTTTTTTATTCTAAATATAAAAAAATAACTAATTTTCAATTATACATTATTTATTAATTAAAATTTAGTTATTTTTAATTCATCAAATGACAATAAACGAATAAAAAAAAAATACTATTGTATTTAACCAGTTATGCTGCAATTAAAAAAAAAAAAAATGAATGGGAGGGAAAAGAAAGAGAGGAAATAGAAGGAAATGTACCTAAATAAAATTTATTTGAAAATCTTTTATATTAACCTCTTAAGCTGATAATTATGTCGATAAAAATATATCGTATAACATTATTAATTTAAATATGAATCTACAGCGTTTCATCATTTTACAGGGAAATTCACTCAATTCGAAAATCCCGATTTTAATAAAAGTTTATATGTACATAGAACGTAATAAATTCCACATAAAAGTTATTTATTTGTCGACGAAAAATTTTTTTAAAACGATCAAATCAGCTCTTAAAGTTTTAACATCTTTTCATTCTTCGAATATAATTTTGCTTGATTAGGTTATAAAGTTATATTTAAAAAGGCAAAAAAATGCTTTAAAACTTTGAACGGTGATTTCACCTTCTTAAAGCGATATATTCATTAAAAAAAGAATAAAAATTCCTCGTGTATATGATTCATTATATTCTACGTATTAATAAAATTTCATAAAAAATAAAAAAATATTCAAATACTTTCATAAATAATTAAATATGAATATTTTTCTTACTAAGTAAGTAAGTATTCATACACGTGTATTTTAAATAGATCGGAGAAGCTAATATATGTATCAAGTAAGTACACATTCATCGTATTATTAAATAAAAATCCACGAGAAACAGCGAACAGCTTAAGAATAGGTTAAGTATTGCGCTTCCGGCCGTTCAAACGGAAGTGAACGCACTGCGCGAATGTAGATGCGCGAGGAACGAGAAGGAAAAGTGGCCGCGGTGTAGCATCACGCTGCGAAAGGGAGGTACGAGGTGACACGGTCCGGTATATTATATCGTGTTTTATCGGCCGTAACACAGAGCGAACTGGAGTGAGAAAGAGAAACACGAATTCGAGTGCAAGTAGTGCGTTATACGCAACCGTGGCGCTCTCTACTCATAGGAAATACACGCCACGTACGTAATATATATAACGTCCTGACATTCGAGCTAAAGGTATAATTACGAGTAATTCACGAGTAACGAAAATATTCGGTGAAAAAATTAAATTCGAATGTTTCATATCTTTCGAAGTAATTCGATAATTTACGTTCTATATCGAGATAAATATGTACCGAGAATATATTGAAATGATATTGGATTTAATATTTTATATATTTGAGGAAGAAAGCTTCTAATGAAGTATTTTAGGTTATATACCGGTGTTAATATATCAAGCACGTGAAATTTATTTGATTGATGTATAAATATTATACATTATAGCGCGTTAATTGAAAGGTGTTCATAAAAGGTGTCGAATATGATAAATTTTCTATATTTTCTCTTTGATTATTCATACATGTATGTAAATTTATACAGTTGTAAATGTTCGTTATAAGAATTTGCATTTAGAAATAATTAAAAGATAAAGAAGTAAGTTTAATTTAAATAAACATCAAATATTTTCGTCACTCATAGTACATGGATCTAAAGATATATAATTGAACTGAACGTGATGATGGAAAAAGAATAACGGCCATTATCGGTAAATATTGGTGGTAATGTGTGCACGAAAAAGCATGAATGTATATATAGCGAATATTGGCAAGCGTATATATCGATATAAAAACTATGCATACAGAGTATTTCATTTTCAGATGTAGTCTGAAAAAAGGATCGAATAATTTACTATCATATAACACTTATATAAAAATAAGTAAAAGATATCTTATCGATATAGCTCTCTATCTCTATAAATTGATTTTAAAATATAATAGAATATTCGAAACGAAATACACGGAAGCAGAATATTTTTCATAAAAAAAAAACAAAATCATCCATTCCTCATAGATTCATTTTATAAACTTACATTTATAAAATATGTTTTTTCATGTAAATAACTACGGCGTTTCTAAATTATCCAATTATTTTTCAGATTACCCTGTACACACGTAGATATACAACGAAATAATATATGGCGGTTATATCGTTAACGTTCATTCTTGCTATCACTGCATATAATACTATAATATCCACAATGATGAAGAGAGTGAAAGAGATTGACTAGGCACGAGCTATGATGCGATCCAAGTATGCTCTGAACGTTTTCTCTGCGTATAAATGCGTGTTGAGGGATTGAATAGGAAATGGATGGATAATAATTACATAAAGAGGTAGAAGCAACGATGGAAAAACGAGTGGATGAATCAACAGCATGAAAATTCAATTGGATATATACTTTAATTAACAAGATGCTCTCCGACATTATTATACAACGTATTTATACATACATACATATATATATATAATATAATACATATTTATACATACATATATATATAATATATTAAAAAATCAGTGTCTGCAGGTACAAATAGGGAAAATTAGCGGGCAGAATAAGAAGTGGTGAAAGAATGTAGCGATAAAGGAAGATAGAAGAATGTGAGAGAAAGGCAGAAAATATACATATATATAAATTATATATATGTACATATATATATATATATAGAGAGAGAGAGAGAAAGAGCTGCAGCAAAAGCCTGAGCCACCTGCAGAGTTTTTCCGCTACTTCCAGGTAACCAGTTTCACTGTACCTTTGTTGCGAGGGTGGAGCTGGGGTTTCAGATCCCGATTGCAAAAATCCTCTTTGCAGCACTCGATGACAAAGGTCGTGTTTCGCGAGTCGCTCGTCATGCAGAAGATGAGCGGCTCGGGCTGCGACGACGACAGCTGTTTATTCACGCACCTTCAAGCCGAGTTTGCACCATTTTCAGAATACAAAAAAACAAAAGGAGGAGAGAAAGAGAAAGAGAGAAGAAGGGAGAAAGAGAGAGAGAGACAGAAAGAGACAAACCAACGTGTAACCTCGTTCGGAGGGGGATAGTTCGTGCTTTTTGGATCGCGTTTTGGGGACACTCGAGGTTACTACGTGACAGATATCAATGGCGACGTTGGAATACGCGCGTATATAGGGTGGTCCAAAATTCACGAGGTTAGAGAGATTCTCGAAATTAGAACGGAAATTAAAGTGTAAAAAAGTAATTGCATCGAGTTTGAAAATTTTTCGAATGCATATAAATGTAGGAAATAATTTTCTCTTAAAAATTAATTTTCGGGAGAATCGAATTTGAAGCATGTTCAACTTCGATTTTCTCAAAGGAAAGATTTAAAGTTTTATTGAATATATTTTGGTTATTTTCATGTGTTTTTATGATACAACTATTTTTTATATAGCTTATTTCTCATTTAATTTTACTTGTATTTGAAAAATGGTCAAACTTGATCGTGCTCGAGTATGAAAAAATTTTATTCCAAATTTTCGTTTTATTTTGAATAAGAATCTTTCTCAGACTTCATTCTATTCTACCATTTTGAATTGTGAACCGTGTTTTATTTTTAAAAATGGTCGTGATTTAATTTAGCGATAGAACGATGAAATATACAACACCACGATATGTTTTTCATTCGATTCTCTGATAAAATGTTGTTTGACTTCTTCTTCTTCTTCTATTTTTATTCCTAACGCGGCCTTCTTTTCTTAAATTAAACAGAGGCTGAAAAATTAAAGGGTAAACGATGGAGAGACAAGGAAAATATTCGTAATAACTCTTTTGCTCGATTTGACAAACGAAGATTTAAAGATTGCATAACAATGAAGTCATGAAACATTCAACAACGGTGAAATCATTATCTATAAATATCTATCCCCGTTTGGGAACGTAACGAAAGAGGCAACATCCACTCAAGAGGAGAGAAAACCCGTCGAGAAAAAATTATTTATAAACATCGACAATAGAAAAAATATTACGTTACGCAACAGCAACAAAAAATAACGAATCGCGGGGCAAAAAACAATTAAAATTTATTACCTCTTTTGTTTCTTCTTAATTTAAACGCTAAAACTATCATCTATTTTATCATATAAATAAATGATTAATTAAGTGATGTCACAATGAAAATAAGTACATTTCCATCTCATAAATATTACAATATTAATATTGTCAAGAATATTTTCATATCCTCGATAATTCTAAAACAAAACAAAAAAAAAAAAAGAAAAAAAAATAGAAAAATCCATTTCATCATTCTAACATTAATTAAACGAAAAATAATAAGAATAAAACAAAAAAGAAGATAAAAAAAGATTTTATCATAAAATTATCGGCATCGTTCCCTCGAGAGAATTCAAGAAGAAAGATGAAGAGAAGAAAGGAACGAAGAACGATATAGGCCGCGTCATAAACTTCATCGTTCCACCGTAATTATGCTCGTATCCTTCACACTCGATCGAGACTCGATCATTCCGTGGTAACGTGACCGTCTCGTATATCCTCGAATCCTCGCAGAACGAGCAAACAACCAGGCGTGCATAAAAAAAGGAAAAAAAAAAAACGCTTTCAATGGTAAATACACACCTGTGCACGGTCGCCGGCTTCGTCCACGATACCACGGAATTGGCCACGAACGAAAGAACCACGCGTATTTTCGTGAAAATGTTCACCGATTATTTCGCGCCGCGGTTAAAACAAGTGGATGCTGAACACGTAGAACAACACGGGCTCGCTAAACAAAAAAAACTTCAGCAAACTTCAGCATGAGAAAGAAATAGAGAAAGAGGGGAGGGGGAGGGGGGGAGGGGAGGGGGCGGGGGAAGGAAAGAAATACAAAAAAAAAATAAAGAAATTCAAAACAGTGTGAACGGTGGAAAGTTGTTAAAAAATTGAAAAAGGGGAGGAGAAAGGGGGAAAACAATTGTCGAACACCGTGCAACTCAACACTCGTTTGTGATACCTGACATGTGGGGGTAGCCAGTCGTAGCGGATCCTAGTCGTTCCTGAAATCCCATTATTTCTCTCGCGATGTCGTCGAGCGTAAAGGGAGAAAAGAATAAAAAAAAAAAAAAGAAGAAAGAAAAAGGAGAATAAAGAAAAACGTGTAATTAAAAATTCGGTGGAAAAATATGCGCTAAGTTCTTTGCTTATCTTTTTAACCGCACCTGCCAGAGCGTTTGATTTGCTCGTTCGTTAATTGATTTAATAAGAATGGCGGGGGCCACGTCGAAAAGGGGATTCTCTCCAGTTAAAATCTGAATTGCTAAAAAAGCAGGCACAAAACGAAACTCTCTTGAACACACCAAAATGAGAGTAAAAAATAAAAGTAAAACAAAAAAAAAAAAAATCTAAGTAGGAAAAAAAATAATGGAGGCAGTTAAGAGGCAAACGATCATCATTATCATCATCATCATCATCATTATCATCATCACGGATGCGGTGAGATGTTTGTTAGTCAAGGTTGTTCAATATGTGGAAATTCTACAAGATAAATTTAAATTTTTATAGAGAAAAAAAAAAAGTAAAATACGGAATGTAGCGGAGACGAAAATTGGGAAAGAAATATGCCAGTGTTGGAGGATCGGGATTCGTTGCGGAACGAACCTCAAGGTGATCCACAACGAGCGGTAATTCGAACGCGCGCGCGAGCACGTACGCGTGAAATCGCAGATGATCGTATCTGCTTTATGTTTAGTTAAACTTGTCTAAATATTTAATATATTTTTTAATGAAAATTTTTAAAAACGTAACATCTATTTCGTTATATTTGATTATATATGATATTTTCATAGATATTTATGAGAAATAATTTTTTAATTATAATTTATTGAAATTTATGTTACTATTAAATTATAATACATACAAGTACATAAAAAATGTTTAAGATATTTTCGCATTACTTATTATAAATTTAGGCCATATGAAATATTTCTTCCATTCGATCTCATATGTTTCTCGAAATATGAAACATCGTCTTTTTTTGACACGAGTCCATTCTTGGGATTCGATACATCCTCTTGAATTCAGCGTCAAGGGACCTATATTCGATCGATAATCGATTACATGCGATACGTGTTATAATGGACGCGATATATCGTATGAAAAGTCGTCGTGTAAAAGTTAAAAGAAATAAAAAGAAGAAAAAAAGAGAAAGCGAGACAAAAGGATAAAAATAAATAAAAATAATTTTCAATAAATTGCAATTTTATGTGGAAAAAATAAAAAAAAAATTGATTTTTAATTTGTATAATTTGATTTCATATATCGTAAAGAAAATCTTTTTTTTAATTCATTTCTCTAATGAATATAGATGCTCATAGATGACCATAGATGGTAATAAATTAAATGATTTTACGGATGCAGTTTATTAATATTATACTTAATGTTTATTATTTCATAAAACAAAATGTAACATTTTTTTTCATATATATTGATGAATTCATTCATTTATGTTATAAATATAATAATTATTATTAATTATTCGTCAATACTTATTCAAAATAATTATTATCAATTATCCGTTAATACTTGCTCAAAAATTACTATTTAAACGAAGTACACAATAATTTTGTATAATATTAAAAATCAAATTAAAAAATAATTGTGTAATTTCTCATGCATGAAATCATGAACAAAAAAATAGAAAAATATGTACGTACTAATTGTCAATGAATTCACGAGAAAAAATTATATTATCTTAGAAAAAAATTTTTCTAATTGCATAATTTTTTTTTATGTTAAAATCATTAATTTTTTCTTCAATTCAATAAATATTCATATTAAAAAAAGAAAAGAAAAATAATAAAGTAAATAAATGATAGATGGTTGCAATCGAAGCATCCAAGATCATGAGAGGAACAAACTCGTTATTAGACAACATTACGATTCTACTTTTCCCTACTTCTGGATTCACGTAACATATCTTTATGAGCAGTTTACCTTTCATAACATATAGTTTCACACCTGCCTAACCTAATCCTGCTCAGCGCACATACACGAGCGAGACACAGATGGAAGTATAAGAAAATTTTACGTCATCGTCCAAACATCGATCTCCTTTCCTCTTCGAACAGTTTCTTTTTAAAATGATTTCGTGGATATTTTTAAGAATCGACGCGGATGAAAAGCTTCATTCGCAGCCGATTTAACTCGAAGGCTATGTAAAAACGGATGTAGTTTCCAACGAAAGTTGATTGGTAGATGACTGTATACGATACACGACCAATAGAATTCGGTTATACGATCGCAAATCTGTCCGCCTATTGGATCACGAGCTATCCCCACTATTTGCTACTCTTAGCCCTCTACATTACCATTACCGAACAATATCTATATCAAGGAGCATCGTTGAAAATTCGCTTTTTCAAACTATCGTAAGGTACTCTATCTGATACGGATCGTGTTAAAAAATCGTATTAAGTTCAGCTGCATAAAGTTTGATTCGCGATAGAAGGAACACGGTCATGTTAAGCCGCATATCGTATAACGATTCACGCTATCTGAACGAGCGTTAACAAACGTAAAATATGAAGCACGAAAGCCGAAGAGGTTCAAGTGGTTCTGAAGAGGAAGAGGAGTCGGTCCAACGATATTTTTGCACGGTGAAATTTTAATCGGGCGCAGACCCCGTGGCTAGTTGAACACGTAAGGGAATATATTCGCGAATTAGAAGAGGCAGACGCAAAATACGGGATAGATAAAGGAGGGGGAAAAAGGAAGAGGAGTTACAGGAGAAGGGGAAGAGAAGGGGAAAGGGAGAAGAAACACGGGCAGTACGATATGCGGTACTACGACCGCAAGGAATGCAGTTAATGATCTCGTTAGGAAGTTCGTTATTGCGCCTGTTTTCATGGTTAGCTATAAGAAAAAGGAACGTGCTCGTCGGAGTGTGGGCGGTCATATGTAGACAAATGGTGGTCGAATGGAGAAATATTTCCATGAAAACGATTCTCGCTCGTAATAGAATAGAAAAAGAGAGGGAAAAGAGATAATAAAAGGCTTTGTAATTTCGAATGGAAGAGTTCGTGCGCGCTCGTGGTCGAAGAGTGAGGGAAGAATCGATTAAAACCTCAAATTATGATGAAAGTTATAAACGATAAAACAATCCACAACGAATTCGAACTATTAGCTAAATTGGAAGAATTCTGCTCTTTTTCCTCGATTTCAAAATTTTATTTTACTTTTAAAAATATTTATTACGAAAAAGGTTTTAAACATTTTTTTCACATGTTTCATAATTTTATAAGATTTTTTGAAAATTCTTAGACATCGTGCGAAAAATATTCTCCTTTATCGCGTGATATGCTTAATATTATAGTAGGTACACGGGAACGATGATACTTGGAAATAATACTCATTAAGCTGCTATTGATAACGTGTAGATTAGTTACGAGTATTAAAGAACATACGTATAATGTAGCAGAAAATTATGCTTAGATTAAACTTTCTTCGAATCGTGCGAAATTGGATCAGTTAGAATAATACACAATAATAATAATAAAATATTAATTCTATTACGTTATAATAAACAATGAGTTGTAAACAATAAACCATCGTTACTGCTATCCCACAGAAAACGAGCAGAATTCTCATTCCAATTTAGTTGAACAATAACCCGATAATCACGCTTAAAAAGTAAAAGGTTCGTTTCTTTTGAAATCGGCAACACGTACAATGGTGCACGTTTACACGTATTTCGATCGAAATCGTGTTGAAATATCACGGCATGATTTCCGATAACAATCTTTTTTTACATCAATCGTTATAAAAGAATTGCGATTAAATTGCAAGAAATATTTTTCCTAACTGGTAAACCACACCCGAAACGAACATTACGCGAATCATTTTGCAATTTCATCCGGCATCGATTTATAAAACTCGCGCGGCACGCCAAATCTGCGCATGCGTTCTATCAAGAACGTGTATGTTGCGGATTAATATGTGCTTACGTTTGTAGCAGGACACGTTACTCTCACGCTTCCATTTGCGTTCTTATTATTATTATTATTATGGGATTCGTAAGTCGAATGTGTTAACAAAAACAAGAAAAGAAACAAAGAAAAAGAGAAAGGAAAAACTATTAATGTATTAGGTTGATAGGAAGTAAATGAATAGTATTATTTCGTTGTGAATTTATTTTATTCCTTTTCTTTAATTTCATCTAATTAAATAATCGATCGAATTATTTTTTATTTATTTATATATTTTTTTTAAAGGTTTTATTAATAACAATGTTTCTTCCGCAATAAATAATTTTTCGATCGTTTAAATATAAAATGTAATGAAAAATAAATTATTATATAATATAATAAATTCAATAAATAGATATATTTGAATCGAATTATATTTTTCAGCATCGATGTGATTTAGCTTATGAATTAATATATAAAAATGATTAAAATCGATTTTTCATTGTAAATTTTACCATCCATCTCTTATTTCCTACTAACCTAAAAAAAAAAAAAAAAAAAAAAAAAGTATACAAGGAATGAAAAAAGAAAGCAA